GTAATACAGTCCCGGTTATAATAATGGGGCGGTCTCATACTTACCGTAATTAACTAGAGCTAAATTTACTCTTATTTACCTAATATTAAAGTTTCTTCATGTTTGTTCACTATATTAGAGGATGTTGATCAGTATAATGGTATGTCACGGCCCTTGTGCGTGTGTACTCGCTGCAAAAAGTATCTCTACGATTTTGTGTGAGACAATAATATGACACAACAAACGAGTGTTACCCGTGTATACGTGAAGAATAATTAATGAAACCTTAACCCAAATATGTAAGGAGTCAGGTGTGTTGGGAAGGACTCATCTCACCAAGACCCCTGAATTCATGTACAGGTTTAATTACAGAGTTTCAAGGTTGACATGACACTGGGTTTTGAAGCCCACAAACACACCATTAACATCTGCTTTACACAACATATACACACAAGTTCTAATGAAACCTTCGTGTTAATTCTGAACCCCTGATATGAACCGTTAAAACAATAACATTTTACACCCAACTAAACTCGCTGGTCAGATCAAATAACCAAGAAATTTAAGTGAGAAGCATAAGAGTGAAAATTATTAGTTAAATGATAAGACTTTCAACCCTTATATTCTTCCTAGTCACTAAGGATTAATTACAGATCAGACTATCTAAATTACGCCAATCTAACTTAACGCTAAATAAACTACGCTAACCTAACTTAACGCTAATCTAACCTAATGCTAACCTAACCTAACCAAACACCCCCCTTCACAGGCAGCGTTACAGTGTTTAATCATCAGATGAACTAAGCTGGAGAGTCTGATCTTCAGGTGATCATCATTATGTCCTAATTGTGTCTCAACTGGGGATCTAGCACACCTGCCATACTGTTATTCTGATTAGCAGTGATAAAGTTCAGTGATCTGGTGATTCCCTACACGTCTGGACCGGCTGCCACCACGTCTTCACAACACCTCCTCCTTCCCTTACTTAATGCCCCAAGATGTAAGCTCATAGGACATATTTATTTAAACTTTATTCAATTCGACTCTGTATCGATCTCTAACCCCAATCGGATTCGGGGTAGTGGGGCGGGGGTGAAGGGGGTGGGAGGTGAAGGGGGATGAGGTGGGGGTGAGATCATCGAAATTAGGCCATCAACATAGATTACGGATTTGCCACAAAAGTTAACACGAGAGTTACTATGGGGACGGTGTGGGGAGGGGAGGAGGGAGAGCCCGTGAACAAATTAAGCATCCCCGTTCATTTCACCTGTTGATTATAATCCCCCCTAACACTAATGTTACCTAACCTAACCTAATCCCCCCCCCCCACCCAAGTAGCGGTAGTATGTTAATTAGGTGAGGTATGTTGGAGCATCAAGCCTCCAGGTGGTCTGGGGTGGGCATAGCAAGAAAATGAGAGTGAGAGTTGTTTACCTGACGCAAGAAAAAAAAGAAGCTTCTACGTCAGATTCACTTGTCTGCGCTTCTCACCTCTGCCTGGCAGTGGTGGTGGTGTACAGAATTTAATCAATATTTACGCGTGTGTGTGTAATAATAATAATAATAATAATAAACGGTTTATTAATAGAGTTGCAGCCGGTGGCTGAAAATATACAGACTTACATTTGATTTAGACATAATGATATAATATGCATTGAATGTGTGTGTGTGTGTGTGTGTGTGTGTGTGTGTGTGTGTGTGTGTGTAATCATAATAATTAACGGTTTATTGAAAGAGCATGGCAGCTGGAAGGCTGAAAATATACAGTTATACAGTATAATTGGGGAATGGGTCACTTGATTGACAAATAACTTAAGTGATACAAATATGATATATTATAACTAAGTGGGGGAGAAGGTTATATACAGCTCATTTCAACATAGTGACAGTGCAAAAGGTAAGATTGGCTGGGAGTGAATATATACACTGGTTGATTACGAGTTGTTGGTAATTTTTATAATGGTTGGGACTGGGCTGTTCTTATTTTGTGTGTGTGTGTGTGTGTGTGTAAAGGGGTCAGGGAAGAGGATGCTTACAGGGTGACAGAGGACGGACTGCAACGGGGTAAGTGGAAAGAGACTACAGGGGGAGGAGGACAGGGGAGGGTTGGGTTGAGAGGGAAGGGGAGGAGAAACTGCTCATTGATGGAGGAGGAGAGAGTTAGGGAGGGAGGGAGGGAGGGCCTTGACCTAGATAAGAGAGAGACTGGGAGTAAGAAGTGCTGATCATCGCATCCTTACTCAGTGTCTCTCTCACTGGTGAGTAGTAAGTATGAGTGCTCTCCCTTACGCCACCTAGTGTCTCCCCACCACGCAGTGTCTCCTCACCACTCAGTGTCTCCCCACCACTCAAGTGTCTCCCCGCCACTCAGTGTCTCCCCACCGCTCAGTGTTTCCCCATCACGCAGTGTCTCCCCACCACGCAGTGTCTCCTCACCACTCAGTGTCTCCCCACCACTCAAGTGTCTCCCCGCCACTCAGTGTCTCCCCACCGCTCAGTGTTTCCCCATCACGCAGTGTCTCCCCACCACGCAGTGTCTCCCACCTCAGTGTCTCCCCACCACTCAAGTGTCTCCCCGCCACTCAGTGTCTCCCCACCGCTCAGTGTTTCCCCACCACGCAGTGTCTCCCCACCACGCAGTGTCACCCCACCCCTCAGTGTCTCCCCACCACTCAAGTGTCTCCCCGCCACTCAGTGTCTCCCCACCGCTCAGTGTCTCCCCACCACTCAGTGTCTCCCCACCACTCAGTGTCTCCCACGCGTCGTACAGAAAATCCAAATATCATCGTAATTTTGGCTTAAACTTTGGGTTCTGTTTACCCAATCCAGGTGGTCACTACACACTGGTGGCCAGGTGAGCTAGGTGTTTGTTTGGGTGTTAATGAGGTGTATCTGTGTTGACACCCTCGCCAAAGTCCTAGTGAGGTGCACTTTATTTGTAAGTGTTAGCTAGGTGTACTGATGGTGTTAGAGAAGTGTACTGGTGGTGTTAGAGAGGTGTACTGGTGTTAGAGAGGTGTACTGGTGGTGTTAGAAGAGTGTACTGGTGGTGTTAGAGAGGTGTACTAGTGGTGTTAGAAGAGTGTACTGGTGTTAGAGAGGTGTACTGGTGGTGTAAGAGAGGTGTACTGGTGGTGCTAGCTAGGTGTACTGGTGGTGTTAGAAGAGTGTACTGGTGTTAGAGAGGTGTACTGGTGGTGCTAGCTAGGTGTACTGGTGGTGTTAGAGAGGTGTACTGGTGGTAGAGAGGTGTACTGGTGGTGTAAGAGAGGTGTACTAATATCAGATTTTTGTCCATTTTTCATTATTTTATTTTCGTTCCATTGCACTTTTTTCCTTTTTATCCCCCCCCCCCTTCCTCTTGTGTATTTTTTATTTCACCTCCCGTTCGTATTTTACTGTCTGCCTGTCTGTCTGTCTCTACATCTTCCACCCTCTCTCTCTCTCTCTCTCTCTCTCACACACACACATTACACAAATATTGGAACAAAATATTTCACTACAACTTACAGTACAGTTAGTGTTGTATTAAAAGCTCACATTTCAGTATTGTTTGATTAATACAAATCCTGGATAATGCATACTAATTAAGTGTGATTTATAACTTTTTTTTTTTAGGAATAAAGCCGAACATGCGAAGAATTTAATTTTCGTTTACTGTCGTATTAAAAAGATTATGTAAAATCGATATGTATTGGATTGAATAAAAATGAAAATAAATAGCAAATGCTGTTTCGTAATTGTTTGGAATTTGGGAGTATTTGTCGTTTTCTCTTGTCGTCGTTATTCTTGTCGTTTTCTTTAATGGTGTTTAATCTAGAAGGGTAAACTCCTCTATTCGCCTGTGTCCCAAAATATCATCCTGCCCATTTTTTATTTCAAGTTATTTTTCGACTAATGATAATCCTATCACGCGAAGATTAGACAACCCATTATATTTCACCCGATGATTAACTTAACCTACCCTAACAAAATATAATCAAATCTGACATGAACTAGTTTTACTTAATCAGTGAAGGTGGTGTTCTCTCTCCCTCACCATGATATAACACCGTACCAATAAACCAGTTAAAGTGGTATACCGCACTCTGCCTCACCATGATATAAAACCATAACATTAGACCAGTTAAAAGTGGTATATACTGTACTCTCCTTCACCATGATATAACACCGTACCATCATCACCACCGACACGAGGCTACACCCGCTTCATTTTCTGTACGTAAGTAAAATACTTGCTTATCGATCACAGCCCAGCTTACCAATGACAAAAATCGTATCCCACGTCTCATATATATTCATGACGCTATTAGGGAGGTCCTCAGCTAGATGCCTCACAGCTGCACCCAGCCCCCTGGACTCAGCAGCGGCTAAAACTGTCACAAGCACACATGGGAAAAAAAAAGTGATTCCTGAACACAGCCAATATCTACCACTGAAATAAAATTATGCCTCAAATTACATATCGTTCCATAAATCCATTAATGTCTGCTAAATGGATGGATCATTTAAGCATTAGACACCCTAGCTAATTTCACCTTGAGATTAACCCCCTAATGCTAACCTAACCTAATCTCACCTAACCTAACTTAATTTAACCTACCCTACACTACCCTACCCTAACCTAACCCTAATCTAGCATTGTGATAAGGTAGTTAATCATCTTGTGAAATATACCGGGATGTCTAATTTTAACGTTATCCAAAAATTGTATAGAAAACTTCATTATGTTCTGCTTATTCATTCTCTAGGTATGGATTGATAACTTTTTCTAGGGCGGACGGTGGGAGGGACGGAAAGACGGACGTACGGTCAATATCTAGCTGCTCTGAGCTTCTTAACTACCGTAATCAATAATAATAATAATAATAATAATAATAATAATAATAATAATAATAATAATAATAAAAATAATAATAATAATAATAATAATAATAATAATAATAATAATAATAAAAATACTCATAATAATCACAGACAACCTTTACTAATCACCTCAACTTTTTTTTTTACCCAGGAGACTCAGAAGGAGGCCATGGCGGAGACCCAGGAGGAGAAGCTCTTGTTGAAGAAGGTGGACGATATCACGGAGACCTGGGTGTTGCGTCTCCTCAAGCACAACCTTCACCACACCTCAGGTAACTCATTCATCACCACCACCACACCTCAGGTAACTCATTCATCACCACCACCACACCTCAGGTAACTCATTCACTACCACCACCACACCTCAGGTAACTCATTCATCACCTCCGCCACACCTCAGGTAACTCATTCACCACCTCCGCCACACCTCAGGTAACTCATTCACCACCTCCGCCACACCTCAGGTAACTCATTCACCACCCCCGCCACACCTCAGGTAACTCATTCACCACACCTAAACTTGTACCTCATAAAGTCACTGTATCTGAAACTGTACCTAATGACGCCACTGTACCTGTATTATTGTATCTTAATTACTATTTATTTCACAGGTAAAGACTCGAGGATCAAACTGAACAAATGGATTCGAGACAAGTGCTCCTCGACAGACGCTTTGGCGGGTTTCAGCAGCTCAAGGGCGACCGTGAGTGTGGAGTACGAGGTGGAGGGTGAGGTGGAGGCGGCGCTGAGGAAGGAGACGTTTGTGGTCAAGTTAATCCCTACTGAAGGTTACATGTCGTAAGTTGACTGGGAATTTTCTTTCCCCTTTAACACAAGAATTAACTCAGAGGTTAGGTTAGGTTGCGGTCGGTTAGGGTTAGGTTAGGTTAGGTTAGGTTAGGTTGCGGTCGGTTAGGGTTAGCTTAGGTTTGTGGACCAGCGCTGAGTCCTAATATTTGCTTCATTATCTTGACCTGGTAAACAAGACAGGGTAAGTGACCTGTTTATCTCTGACCCGTGACAGCTCACCTGCCTCATCAACCTGTTCTGGCACCCCTCACCCCAGCCTGTCCAACCCTCACCCTAGTGCCTAGTCTATTCGCCCCTCACGACAGCCTTATGGTTTTAAAATAGACAAATTTAGATTTAGGCTCGAAATAGGTAAATATTGATTTGGAAATAGAGTAGTGGACGAGTGGAACAAGTTACCAAACAACATCATTAACTCGAATACCCTGGATAGCTTCAAACATAGGTTGGATGGATATATGAAGGATAGGGGTTGGATGTAAATGGGACTGCCCAGTATGGGTCAATAGGCCCGCTGCAGTTTCCTCCATTCTTATGTTCTTATGTTATGTTCTATTCATCACTCACCCCAGCCTATCCACCCCTCACCCAGTAGATGCCTTCGTGATAATTTAAGACGATATTGTGGTTTATTTTGTTGTATGACTGGATGAATACACTGTCTCTCTCTCTCTCCATATATATATATATATATATATATATATATATATATATATATATATATATATATATATATATATATATATATATATATATATATATATATATATATATATATATATATATATATAACTCTCTCTCTCTTTGTTGTCTCTCTCGCTCTGTTCTCTTTACCCCCTCCACCTAACTACACCGACCCTCGTCTCCGCTTGGGTAGGACATTAGTTTACATTCCTCTGCTAACTTCAAAGACCTACCAAGTTCAATCAGGAGTTGGAGAGTTGAGGTGAGGTGAGGTGAGGTGAGGTAGGTGAGGCGAGGTGAGGTGAGGTAGGTGAGGTGAGGTGAGGTGAGGTGAGGTAGGTGAGGTGAGGCGAGGTGAGGTGCGCTACAGTACAGAGTTAAACCATTTACGAGGTTCCTGACACACCAACACACGGACATGTATTAACACAGACTAACAGACCATCACAGCCTTGGAAAATACCACAGAAATTATCTGAAAAATGGCAGATGAAATTCAATGTGGACAAATGTAATGTACTAAGTCTAGGAGATGTAAACAGAGAAACCAGATATCAGATGAACAGCAATGTTATAGAGAAATCCGAATGTGAGAAAGATTTAGGAGTAATGATAAGTAAGAATCTTAAGCCAAGTAACCAATGTGTATTTGCTCGAAACAAGGCTAATAAAGTACTTGGGGTCATACAAAGGAGTGTTAGTTACAAGACTAGCGAGGTCATCTTAAAACTATATCTTGCGCTTGTGAGACCTCACTTGGATTACGCAGTTCAATTCTGGTCACCGTATTACAGAATGGATATAGAATCCCTAGACAGAATTCAGAGGAGAATGACAAGACTAATCCGGGCATTAGGAACCTCGAGTACAGAGACAGGTTAATGCATCTTAATTTGCACTCCCTGGAGAGACGTAGAGTGAGGGGCGATATGATAGAGGTGTATAAATGGAAGTCAGGGCTGAACAAAGGGGACATTATAAAGCTACTCAAACTATCCAACCAGGAGCGAACTAGTAACAATGGTTTTAAATTAGATAAATTTAGATTTAGGCGCGAAATAGGTAAACATTGGTATGGAAATAGAGTAGTGGACGAGTGGAACAAGTTACCAAATATCATTATTGACTAGAATACGATGGATAGCTTCAAACATTGGTTGGACGGATATATGAGCAATAGGGGTTGGGTGTAAACGGGACTGCCCAGTATGGACCAATAGGCCCGCTGCAGTTTCTTCCGTTCTTTTGTTCTTATGTTTTTATGTTATCTATTTACCTGTACAGTTATCTATTTATTTATCTGCTTGTCTATCTAACCATTTATCTGTCTATAGTAATACTCTATGTAATGGATGGCAAATAAAGACAAGCAAACACACTGAAATACTTAAAGATATAAGCACATCCTTGGAAGACACTTACGAGTTAGTTAACACACTCAGAAAGGACACTTAACACACACACACACACACACACACACACACACACACACACACACACACACACCAAGTCCTCCCTGTGAGTGTGTGACGGAGTGTGTAGGAACGTGAGAGACAATATATACTACCTGGTTCCTTCGTTACAACAGGTGGGCAGGTGTGTCTTGTGGGGTGCACGACGTTAATTACAGGTTATTATGAAGACAAAAATTATTTCGTCAGTGTTTGAGCAAATTTTCTCTTTAAAGTCAGTGAATTTAGAATTTGTTGAATAGTCTCTTAAGTTCTCCGTTATTGAAATTCTATCTAATTCTCACGTAAAAGAAAAATATATTAGAATTTCCTCCTTCAACCCTAAGGCTTTTACTCAGGCATTTAATAAGTTCAATAAATTTAAAAATCTAAATTAAAATAATACACTAATTTAAAAATCACCTGCAGTTAAGTACCCATATGGCAGTTACCATCATTATCTACACTACCTACAAGACTTCTCCCCCCCCCCCCCAGAGGACTGCTGACGTCAGAAGGGATGCATCACATAGAGGTAGGTCAGTATGGACGGTTCCTAGTGGCGCTGGGAGAGTGGGAGAAGGCGCGGCGGGGCGTGTGTGAGGGCGTGGTGGGGGAGATTGTGCCGTCCCACGCTCTGGCCGTCAGCACCCAACACCACTTCACCCTCGTGCTCCCAGAGATCACACACCTCGGCTACCATGTGAGTACTGGTGTGTGTTGTCTACTGATGAACACGCAATGACATAAAACTGAGTTCCACCTTTAGATTAACCCCCTCTTAACCATCCTTACGCTAACCTAACCTAACCTTAACCTAACCTTAACCTAACCTTAATCTAACCTTAATCTAACCTTCCTAACCTAACGCAATGACATAAAACTGAGTTCCACCTTTAGATTAACCCCCTCTTAACCATCCTTACGCTAACCTAACCTAACCTTAACCTAACCTTAACCTAACCTTAACCTAACCTTAATCTAACCTTCCTAACCTAACGCAATGACATAAAATTGAGTTCCACCTTTAGATTAACCCCCCTTAACCATCCTTACGCTAACCTAACCTAACCTTAACCTAACCTTAATCTAACCTTAATCTAACCTTCCTAACTTCTAACGCAATGACATAAAATTGAGTTCCACCTTTAGATATTCCTCTTAACCATCACACGCTTCTTCCTAACCTAACCTTAACCTAACCTTAATCTAACCTTAATCTAACCTTCCTAACCTAACGCAATGACATAAAACTGAGTTCCACCTTTAGATTAACCCCCTCTTAACCATCCTTACGCTAACCTAACCTAACCTTAACCTAACCTTAACCTAACCTTAACCTAACCTTAATCTAACCTTCCTAACCTAACGCAATGACATAAAATTGAGTTCCACCTTTAGATTAACCCCCCTTAACCATCCTTACGCTAACCTAACCTAACCTTAACCTAACCTTAATCTAACCTAACCTAACCATGGCTTCATCTACGTTTAATAAATATAACACAGTATTCAATAGGTAGGTAACGACTTTTCCAGTGACAGATTGTCCGCCCACCATGTCCACAATATCAGCGACTGTCTGAAATAGTTACCAGTAATTGTCCAGTTGGTTAAATTCCCCTACTACTAACGCAGTCATCGTCAGTGCGGATGTCAATGTGGGTGTGTGTGGATATGGTTGTCAATATAGATATCAATATGAATGCGTGTGTGGATGACAATATGGATGTCAGTACGTATGTCAGTATGGATGTCAATATGAATGTCAATATGTATATCAGTAAAGGTGTCAGTGTGGAGGTCAGAATGGATGTTAATGTGGATGTCATTGTGGATGTAAATATGTATGTCAGTATAGATGTCAATATAAATGGCAATATGGATGTCTGTGTGGACTCAGTGTGGATGTCAATATGGATGTCAGTATGGATGTCAATATGGATGCCAGTATGGATGTCAATATGGATATCAATATGGATGTCAGTATGGATGTCAGTATGGATGTCAATATGGATATCAATATGGATATCAATATGGATGTCAGTATGGATGTCAATATGGATGTCAATATGGATGTCAGTATGGATGTCAGTGTGGATGGCAGTGAAACAGTGTAGCTTCACCTGGTATACACGCACCTTTACCGACCACCCCTTTAACTCGGACACAGGAGGCAGGCGGTAGGCTGTCCAGGGAGCCCAGCACCGAATAGACGCTAATGAATAAAAATAGCCTTGTGTTTATTGTTCAGGAGAGTCGTGTTGTGGTTGTAAGCGAGGTTGATCGACCTGTGTATAAATATCAAGTACTGGTGATGTGAAGTAGGTTGTTGGAGTGTTGTGGGTATGGGTTGTGGTAGTTAGGAGTCAGTGTTTTTTATTATTATTATTATTATTATTATTATTATTATTATTATTATTATTATTATTATTGGAATTATTATTATCAACATTATTATTGCTGTTATCATTATTATCACGAGATCACTATCATTATTATTACTATTATTATTATTATTATTATTATTACGATATACTGCACCCCACAGGAGGCATACACCAAGTTACGTTGGCTGGTCAGAACAACGTAAATCACTGTTGGTTATCTGCATATTTAGGTTCCAATAGCCCGTTTAGTACACCTCGGTAAAAGCTTTTGTCCAGGTACAGCTACAGGTATAATCACCCACTAAAGTCCTGTCGCCTCTCTTGTTGGTCCACGAACCCCGAGATTCAGAGTCGTGAATCCGAAGCATTTATGGGCAGAATAATGCATCAGTGTCTACTGCTTCGGGTTCACGAGTCTGAATCTCGGGGTTCGTGGACCAGAAGGAGAGGTGACAACATTTCCTGTGAGCAACTGAACAGCAATGATCGTTACAAACGTTCTTCCTCCAATGTCACAAATGTTTTTCCTTACAGTAACACAAACGTTCTTTCTTTACACAAATATTTCCCCTTCACATCACAAACAGTACGACAAACGTCCTTCCTTCACAGCATCACAATCATTCTTCCTACAGACGAAGAATGTGAGCCAGGGGCTAGGGGAGGACCACATCCTGACGGTGGCGCAGAAGCTGGGCACTTACCATGGTACGGTGGTGGCCTACAAAGTGATCAACCGCATCAACCTCCTTGACGCCTTCCCCGGCTGCTTCCACCAGGCCAGCGTCGAAAGCCCCCTGTTCTCTGTGTTCGTCAGGGCGGGCTTCCAGAGGTATGATAGTGAAGCTTTCGCCCCTTTATTCTTGGTGTTTAAGGCTTCATAGATTCTGGTGGATTGTGTATGGGTGTATGTCCACCACTGGTGATGACAGCAGTGGGGATTCCTCGAATACCCAGGACTGTCAGCTGTCGCCCCCCCTCCCTTGTTATGTTCACCCTCCGTCTTGAGGATTACGTGGACTTTTATCTCCTCAGTTATATACTTATTTGTTCATAAATATATATAAATGTTCAGCTTATCGTTAACTTATCTTAGATGTGACAGCAGGTAGACATTTCACTGATAAAAAGATAATTACATTCTCTTCTCTCCCATTGGCTGGTGTTATGGCCATCATGCTCGAGAATGTGGGTGAGTAACTGGATGTAACTCATGTCATTTACTGGAGTGTAATAAATAAATGCACAAATACAGAAGAACCTAATGGACTATGACGTAATCTTAAGAAATGTGCTCAGAACGCGACGAACATAACACGAGGGGGGGGGGGGTGGCAGCTGAGAGTCCAGGGTATTCGGGGAATCCCTACTGCTGTCATCACCAGTGTCGGACCTGCACCTGCATAACTATAACCCACGCCGCTATCATATTGTATATTTTCACATCATTTTCAATTGTATGTGTTTAATGTATCGCTTATACCGTGCGTTATGTATATTGTGTTGTGTATTATTCGTGCTGTGTTCAAGTGCAACTGATAATGCATATAAACTACTAATACTTCTGTGTTTTTTTGCCTTCTAGGAGTTGAGGAGAAATTTGTCTTAAGTAACATGTTGAGAACTCATTAGCTCACTATGCTTATCTATTCAACTATTGGCTGACGTCATACCCAAGTCAGCCCGGGTGGCCAGAGTAAGGTCAGGAGGAGGGCGAGAAATAATAGGGAAGGTAAAGATTGACAGCAAAAGGAATTTAAACAGGAGGTATTTAGTGCATAAGAAAAAAAATTAATGTTGCCAGTTTTATTACAAAACAGATTATTTACGTTTTTAGACAGTGTGGTTTACTACACCGCCTGAGATGTAAGGTTATTATGTCTGATAACGCCGCCCAAATTGTTTCGAAATGGAATATTCATTGTGTGTCGGTTGGTTGGTGTCGTCTAACAAATAACTTACTGTTTTATGCTAAAATGTGAACAACATTTAATCATAATAATCTGCGTTATCAAGAACCTGTTGTTGCTACATTAAGAAAGCCATTATTAATCTTAGGCCAATCCAGCTTTGAGTTATGCCACGGAAGCTGTGACTTACAAACAAGGGACCACAAATAATAATTTTCCCCTTTTCCCAATTGTTACTTGAATAATTCCCTTTCTAAAATATGTAGTATTAGCGAAAGTATACCATATGCCCAGTCATTGAGCTACATATCCTATCAAGGATAAAGTATACAGGCGGGGAACGAAAGATGACGAGGTAAAATCTAATTGGAACAGTGATGCTGCACCTGTACCGACGCGCCCCGCAGCCGCTCACTCAGGTAATGAAAAACTTGATTTTTCAGACAGACAACTAAAATGCCAGTCTTATAAAATCTGCTCATAGGAAGTGTTAATTCATACACGGGTCATAATACAATTTCGTATTGTTTACGGTTCGTTAATATGTTCGTGTGAACATTGTTGGAAATAATTACGCAACACTCTTTTATTATACATAATACGGTCTTTAATGCGCGCCAGATACGAGGAAGTGCAAAGAACAGCGCCGTGACCTGTACATGGCCTTCATTGACCTTACTGAGGTAATTAACTTGATCAACAGGAAAGCCTTTTGGCAGATCCTCAGATGTGTGTTGGCACCAACTCTCTTTTTCATTTTCTTGGCTGCCTTCCTTATCCGCGCCAGTGCCAATCTAGCCTACGGGGTGGACATCCAATACCAGATGATGGGTCTCTTCAACATAAGATAACTTCAGGAAAGAACAAAGGTGTCAGCCGCTTCAATCACTGAACTTCAGTATGCAGACGACCTCACTCTCGTCGCTCGCACTGAACGCGACCTACTGGAGATCCTCAACACTTCGGCCTTGAGGTGAATGTATGCAAGACGCAGATTCTGATCCAACTCGCCACTGGTTCAGTCATGCTTCCACCGTCCATCCAACGTTAACCCACTTCCAGTACCTTGGCTCTCACCTGTCCACCAAAGCAGACATCGATGAAGATATTCAACATCGCGTCAGATGTGCATCTCAAGCCTTTGGCAGACTCCATATCCGTGTCTTCAGCTGTAGGGAGCTGAAATTATCTACAAAGTTGCACGTGTATCGAGCAGTGGTCCTCCACACCCTGCTATATGGCAGCGAGACATGGGTCACACACAGGAGGCATCTCAAGGCACTTGAAAACTTTCACCAACATAGTCTACGTTCCATCCTCCAAGTTCGCTGGGAAGAAGAGGACAAATGCCAGTATTCTTGCTGATACCAACTTTAGGAGCATCGAGGCTACCATTATCCATGAACAACTACGTTGGATTGCCCATGTTACCCGTATGGACGACAATAGACTGCCAAAGCAGGTACTTGACAGTCACCTAATGAATGATAAACGTAACGCTGACGGACAACGGAAAAGGTGTAAGAATAGTCTTAAGACAAACCTGATAAATTGCCACACCGTAACGAAGGTGACATCCTTAATAACTCATCACATTGTATCATAACTGGATGATCGTCAGACTCGATTCTGAGTGACAGCAAAGTAGTATTAGTAGTAGTGTGTGTGTGTGTGTGTGTATGTGTGCGTGTGTGTGTGTGTGCGTGTGTGTGTGTGTGTGTGTGTCACCTCTCTCCAACCCCGACAGGTTACAGGAGGAGTGGTCAGGAGACGCTACTAAGACTCATTTGTTAGAGATGTTGGCGCCCTACGAGGTCAACCCGCCAGAGTTCGTGGTATCCGGCCTCCTCCCGCAGGAACCATTCGCTACGGCCATGCACGGCGACCTCCAGCCCTCTAATATATTCTTCAAGCATACCACTGACGGCCAGTATACTATTAAGGTAAGTTATTCTCTCTTTAAGGCCCAGAATACCAGCCCTCAACACATTACCCATGTACACCAGCCGGCTAGTATCTATATATCTATCTATCTATCAATCTATCTATCTATCAATCTATCTATCTATCTATCTATCTGTCAGGTTAATTGTTTATTATTCCGTATTGTGATTTGAATGGTACCAAAGCAGAGATATACTACTACCAGGTGTTAAATAGTGCTCATCGGTCAAAGGTTAATTACCATAACAAACACGTCTCGATTTTGTATCACCTACTAACCCAATTACATAATGACGCCATTGAATTAAAAAAAAAAAAAACATGGAAAAAAAAATCCCAATCACCTTCGTTTTACTTTGATTAAATGTTATTGACGGTGGTGATTTGTTTTTACTATATGAATAAATATATGGGACTAAATAAATAACTACCACAGATTTTTTTTATAATGATTAAATAAAAGACTTTTTTTTTACCCAGGCACCCCCCTCCTCACCCACCCCCACCCCTCCCCCTAACATACCCACCCAGTCCCACCCTCCCCACCTCCCCCACACCCATCTCTCCCTTGCTAAAGACTGAAGGTATTTGCGGTGGGATAATAATATATGGACGATACAGGTTATTAATAAAGACAATGTGGGGAATTAAATTGGTGAAATGGCCACGAGAACAAAGGAGGGAAGAGCCACTGAGATTACTGACGGGAAGTGTAAGGATTAAGGATTACAGCTGAGAGAGAGTAGCTACATTCGCATTTATATTCAATTACAATAAACTTGGGGTATATTTTCTGAGGCCCCGATTTTACCCTAAACCATAAATTTTACCTCTTCTGAAGTACTTTGTGGAGAGAAGGTTACGCTGCATAGTAACTAAATATCTCTCCTTACACCTGCGCACCAGTACACTTCCACACCTGTGACACTAGACCACAAAGGTGATGCAACTGTTGGCTTTGAACACCTGTTTCTTATTATATCACCAAGAGGAGACAAATGTTTATAAAGGTGGCTATTTTTTATATATATAGTAGTGTTGTTGTTGCTTTTGTTTGTTGTTATTGTGTTAGGGAACTAGGTGCTTCAACGGGCAAGGATCTTTAAGTAATTACGATCACCAAGTCTTTCAAGGATTCCAAGTGCTTGAAACGACCCGAGGTCTTTGTAAAGTACCACCACCTTTCACCAAATCTTACAACAAGTTTCTACACTAAATAAGAAATATTTTTTTAAACATTACCCTCGCGGTTTACAGGTGATTGACTGGGCCACGGCGCGGTACTCCCAAGGAACATGTGATCTGGTCTACTTGCTCAACATAGGCGTGGATGCGGACGTGAGACGGAGGGTGACCAAATCAGCCACCGACGTGTACTTCAACGCCTTCAACGCAGCGCTCACCGACCTTAACGCTAACCTATCGTACCCTAGGTGAGTCCAGTGTCCTTGAGGGGAATTCAGTGATTTTTTGTTTTGTTTTTCCTCTTCAGTTATTCTTTTCATCCTTACCTCATTCGTTTTTCCTCATGTTCTTCTTTCTTTCCAAGTCATTCATTTCCTTCCCAGTCATTTGTTTTTCTTCCCCAATCAGTTATTCGTTATTCTTTACCTTCCTGATTTATTTTTCTCCCGTGATCATTTTTTTCGTCCTCAATCATTTTTTTCTTCGCATAAAGTTTTCCTCCCACTATTCTTTCCCTCTCCATTTATTTGTTTTCTTCCTGATATCATTAAATACCCTTTCCCCTCTTTCCCTCCCCAGATCACAAAAAAAAAATCCCTCCCATCTTTTTTCCTCCCCAGATCATTCTCTTCCTCCCACTCCCTTTCCACCCTAGATTAATCGCCTTCTTCCCACCTTCCTCTCTCCTCCCCAGCGGACAGAGGGGAGCAGATGGATCTACTCTCAGCTCGTACAGGCAGGAGAGGAAGAAATGATTCAGCGACCTCTTATCAGTTTCTTGCTCAGAGAGGGAATAACTTACGCGTTCGAGGTGTTTGTGTTGTATTGTGTTGTGTTGTGTTGGTAGGGGAGGTGTTTATATTACGTTGTCAAATGAGTTGTGAGCCATATGTTGTCATCTCCCACTGTGTTATTGTGTTTACAGAGACGTGTTCGAGGACCAGCTGGTTAAGGCTCGTCAGCTGTTGGTGGTGTGGAGCATCATGAGCGTCAACCTCTTCTCCAGCACCCAGCACCTCCGAGACCGCCTCACCGCTATCCTCGCCGACATCCTCCTCGACCCCACCGTCCCGTCTCCAACACTGTCCACCTGATCTATCCGTTCTTGATATCCTTCTTGAACCCCAACACTATCCACCTCCACCATCACCATCCACTTGACACGAACCTCTTACCAGCAGCCTTCATGGATCCGCAGTAAGTTTGGTTCACTCTTCCACGAAACGAACCATTGAAACCAGAAGAAACACGGCCAGGTGATTCACTCTTCTTGGAAACGAACCTCTGAAACAGTCTGATACCAACCTGGGCCGTCCTCCCTCAACACGAAAAACCGCAAGAACTGTATCCACTTCAGGAATTCTATTTGTAATATGAAGCACCACTGAAGACACTGACCTATGAACCGGGAACCCATAAGATGGAGTATTTGTCATCTAATATACTATAATAATAATAATAATAATAATAATTAACGGTTTATTGAAAGAGCTTGGCAGCCAGAAGGCTGAAAATATACAGTTACATATTTGGGGAATGGGTTACGAATTACAAATAATATACAAGTGACATAAGTGACACAAATAAGACATATAGTAACTTAGATGGGGATCAGCTCAAAATACAGTTCATTTCAACATAGTGACAGTGTAGGGAGCAGTGTTTACTGGGAGTGAATACACTGATTTATTACATGTTATTGATAATTTTTACAATGGTTGGGACTGGGCTGTTCTTATAGCGATCAGTTCGTGCACGTATGGGCTGGATGCGGTTGTGGTGTCGAACAGCAATTCTCGGACAGGGGATCTCAGGTGGTAGTAGGGGCCGGTGTCGGGGATGGTGTAGAAGCTTCTTACCAAATTTGCAGATGAGGTCGTGGTGATGGTCAGTGAGAGTCGAAAGGGTCAGTGTGTTGAGCGCTTCTTGATATGTGGAGTAGGAAGGGGAGAGAATAATCTTGCATGCCCTCTTTTGCACTTTTTCTAGGTGTTTACGTTGTGTGGCATTTAGGGAGGAAGACCAGGTGGGGGAGGCATAGGTGAGCTTGGGAAGTATGAATGTTGTGTAAACACTGAGGAGCTCGGGTGCGGGAACTCCGAGGGACTTGAGTCGGCGGAGGAGGTGGAGACGGAAACTGGAGGATTTGACAACTTCACTGACGTGTGGTTTCCAATTTAGTTTGTTGTCTATGGTGACGCCGAGGAGCTTCGTGGAATCTACAACCTGGAGTGTGTTCGGACCTAGGGTAATGGAAGGAGGTGGGACAATGTCGGAGGAGAGGTTGATGTGCATAACCATTGTCTTGGTATGGTTGATGGTGACATGGTTGTTGGTGGCCCAGTTTTGGAGACTGTTCAATAAATCCTGAAGGGCGGTATAGTTGGGAGCGGAATTGTTGACGCTGATCCCAATGGTGGAGTCGTCGACATATTTCCAGCGAGCAGGGGCTTCTCTTAGGGCATCATTGATGAGCATAAGGAAGCAGAGTGGTCCCATCTTGGTGCCTTGGGGGACGCCACAGGTGAGTGACTGAAAGGTGGAGACAGCCCCTCGGAAGCGTACAGCTTGGCGTCGGTCACTGAGGAAGTCTGTAAGCCATGGTATGAGACTTCTCCGAAGCCCGAGGTCAATAGCTTTGTTTATGATTATATTGTGGTCGACTAGGTCGAACGCTTTAGTGAAATCAATGAAGGCGACAGCTACAGACGTTTTTCGTTTCTCGAGATGGCGGTATATGTAATCGAGAAAGCTGACAAGACAGTGAGTGGTGGAGGAAGTTTTCATGTTGCCAAATTGCTGAGGGTCTACGACTCCTGCAATATCAGCATAAGCCCAGTCAAACACAAAACTTTCACAGATTAGGCTGGGTATTGGGGTGATTGCAATAGGTCGTAGCTGATTTAAGGACTAGCTGTGTGTCTGTCTGTATGTCTGTTTGTTCTGGGCAGCCGAAACGGCACAACCGTTTTTCATCAAACTTGGTGGAAAAATCAAAAAAATTCGTAGAGTAGAACAAACCTGGTCCCATGCCGATGGTTTCTTTAGGAAGGCATTAATTAACCATTTTATTTAAGGTGGACAACGATGCAAGTCTACGGACTTGGCGCACCCTCATTCGCTGTACGCTAGCCAAGCACGAGAGTTCAAACTTTCACTGGGCACGAAGGGCCCGCGATCACTTGTATGAACTAAATCTCGTGAAGGACCATTTTGATGAAGCCTCTACCCTGAACCAACCATTTTCTGTTATATACGGTGAACCATAGAACCATTATATTCAATTAACTATCGCCAAAGTGTCTACCATGAATCTGTAAGATGACTATCATGGTTGACGAATAATATTGAGAACCACCTCAACTACCATGAGCCATCTATCTCCACCATCATTCATCATCACCATCAACCATAATCGTCAACCACCATCATCAACCACCCTCCACTACTCCCATCGACTACCCTCCACCACCCCCATCATCCACCATCAACCATTCTCCACCACCACCACCACCAACCACCCTCCACCACCACCATCATCCACCCTCCACCACCACCATCAACCACCCTTCACCACCACCATCATCCACCATCAATCATTCTCCACCACCACCATCAACCACCCTCCACCACCACCATCATCCACCCTCCACCACCACCATATTAAGCACTCTCCGCCATCAACAACAACCACTCTTCACCACCACCATCAACAACCCTCCACCACCACCATCATCAACCATTCTCCACCACCAACATCAACCACCATCTACCACAACCATCTTTCACCCTCCACCACCACCATCAACCACCTTCCACCACCACCATCAACCACGCCCAACACCAGCCTCCAACACTACCATCAACTACAACTCAAATGATGATGATGATGATGATGATGATGATGATGATGACGATGATGATGATGATGATGATGATGATGATGATGACGTCATACCTGCAGCTGACTGGAAATGTACGTTAATTCAGAAAACATTGGAAAATTTTTCCTTAACTTACAAATTCTACAAAGTTATGAGACATGATTCACTTCCCCTTGAAATTATTTAACTAAATGGCCTAAATCAACTGGGTGCAGTGCGTGGCTACAAAGCTCTCCTTAGGTCCACCCAACAGCGAGTAGGTACCGTCAGGCCTATGGGTCCAACTTTCACTTTTCACATGAATGAATGAGTGAATGAAGACACGGATGAATCGGCGAATGATGAAATGAAAGAACTGGTGAATGAAGAAATGAATGAATCATTGAATAAAAGAAAGTAATGAATCGGTGAATGAAGAAATGAATGAACCAGTGAATAAAGAAAAGAATGAACCAATGAATAATAAATGAATGAATCATAGAATGAAGACACGAAAAAATTGGTGAATGAGGGAATTAAGAAATGAGTAAATCAGTGACTGGTGACATGAAATAAAGATTAATGAACGGGTATCTGAATGAATGAAGGGATGAATAAAAAAAAACAAATAATGAACTACTGAACGACAATTACGAGAGAAATATTGTATTTTTTAATTATTTATTACGTATGAATTTGTTATAGTATTTCTTTATTTTTACTATTGTGATTATTGTTACTATATATTTTTTTTACTTTTATTATTATTATTATTATTATTATTATTATTATTAGTATTGGAGAAAACACACGAGCCATTCATAATAAAATCAATAAACACAACTATTAATCACTGGCCAGAAGAGAGTTGTGCGGACAATGACCCAACGGTACGTAGCAAAAACTGATCACACAAACAAACAATTTGCTTAATTGAAAATGTAAAATTTTAACGATATTAACACTCACTGCTGTGATCTATTTGTTTATAAATTAGTTTATCACTTGATTAAGAACTATCATTTCCAGTTCCGGACAAACCAGAGTTACTAAGACACCCCCCCCCTCCCCCCCATGCGCTCCTCTCAGTCCCAGACATCCATAAAATATCATGGTGTGAAGGTGAGGAATAACTTACCCGCCACCCATCCCAGCAAAGACTATCTACTGTATTGTTTAAGTACTGAAATGTTTGTAATACTTACTTTTTTACAAAACGAAGAGGAGAACCAAGGAAAACACAAACATCTTGACTAAGTTGGGTTTCAAGATGCTTGTGTTTTCCCTGGTTCTCCTCTTCGTTATGAAACTACGCTTTCCACGTAACAAGTCCATTACTTTTTTACTTTTTACTTTTATTGTAACACTGTATTTACCAACACCAGGTAATATCTTGTAATCCCGATGGTACTATAATACTTCCTCGCGATAAATGTACAGCATTTATCAGGTGCCACTAAGAGGGCTGAGGCTCTCACTTGGTCCAGCAGTGTCAGTATTGTTGCCATTGTTCATTATATATTTCTGGTTAAATAAACTTTGTCAAAATCAATGTTTCTCTGTTAATCATTATTATTATTTCAAAGTACGGGACAAAGTTCTTACCTAACCTAACCATACTCTCTCTCTCTCTCTCTCTCTCTCTCTCACACACACACACACACACACACACACACACACACCATCTTCATAATCAGCCTCACTAATCTCTTGACCAAACCTAATTATATATACGTACATAAACAGTACCAAGTGATGTCTAACTCTCTTAACTTTCGTGCGTCTGACGTTAACAGTACGAGAGTTATACAAAAAATCAAGGAGTTAGCCAGGAGATGACCACTTCCCCAGCGCTGGAGATGACTTACTGGACTTGATACAAACACCTGAGCACCTACACCTGAGCGCCTACACCTGACTTCCTACACCTGCCTCGTTTCTGGTCTACCTGAGTAATCTAAAATGTTGTCTAAATCTGCGGTAAACTCACGCCACAATAAATAAACCCAGCCTCTAACCTAACCTAACCTAACCTAACTTAACCTAACCTACCCTAACCTAACCTACCCTAACCTAACCTAACTTAACCTAACCCAACCCAACCCAACCCAACCCAACCCAACCCAACCCAACCCAACCCAACCTAACCTAACCTTAAAAAAATATTACAGAAGAGAAAAAAATACAAAAAGGCAACAGACAGGTGACAGTAATTAAATAATGTTATGTTAATTTATGTTAAACTAATCTCAGGAATTTTGTGTCGTGCGTCAGTATCAAGAGCACCTCCTTGTCTGTTGTTTCCCTGCGTCATTTAAGGAGCTCGAGCAGACAGAGAGAGAGAGAGAGAGAGAGAGATGATAACAAGAAAATGAACAAAACAAACATAACCAGAACACATTAAAACACACACACACATACACACACACACACGAGTACCCACCACCCCCTTTACCCCCTCCCCTCCCACCCCAAACGGCACCACAGGGGTGAAATTAAGTCTTTAACGCCTATATCAATAATGAATTCACGTCTCTCTCATCTCTATATTGCCTATAAACTTCGCTCAACAGGTGGCGT